ATTTTGAAGCAAGTTGTTTTTAGTTGGTACTTGAAATTTGAGCGAGGCCACGGAATGATGATTTCAGTACCATCTTGATTAATAGCTGCTTCTTTGGCTAGTTCATCTGCCTGATCATTACCAAAATGGCCACTATGTCCTTTGATCCATGAAATTTGAATTTTGTAGTTTGGGATTTTTTCCAAGAAGAGAATTTATGTCGGATATCAATGGAGAGGAAGGTAAGGGATTTTTAATAGCTAGAATAGCTGCTTGGGAGTCAGATTTTATGCTAAATTCGTTGAGATTTTTGAGAATGGCTATTTCAATCGCTGCTTTTATAGCTGACAATTCCGCTTGGAAAACACTATTATTATTATGGAGATGGCCTTTCCATTTGATGATGTTTGAGGGGGTAATTTGAAAAAAGACTGCGGAACCAACTTTTCCTTCAATTTTTGATCCATCAGTATAAGCAATTGGAGATGAACTTGAATTTTCTTCTTCAGACGTGGGGAATATTATTTTGCTGAAGCGAAGCGCTGGATGGATAAGATTGGGGTTAATTTTCTTTTCATAGTTGGATGGCCAAAAGGTTTGGTTGTTGAATTCTGCGGCTTGGTTAAGTTGGAAGAACTTTCGTATAGGTGCATTCCATTTCTGCAATGATTGATAACGGAAGAGTACCAGCTAGAGTATCAAGTGCTATATTTGAAGTTGTGTGATACGCCCGAGTAATGCAAAGAGTAAAAGGCCTTTGAATTGAATTTAAATATTTAATCTTTCTTACTGTCATTGGTTGTGCCCAAATTCCGGCTCCGTAATTTACCATTTTTGAGATGACTGTTTTTAGAAGAATACGTGTTATATGGGGATTTAAGCCCCAGTTATATCCATGCATACGTCGTAGGCAGTTAGCTATTGATGTTGTACGAAGTTTAATATTTTGTAGATGAGGAATCCAGGAGAATTTCTTGTCGATTGTTAAACCGAGGTACTTGATTGTATTCACAGATTTGATCTTTTGATTGTCAATTTTTAGAGCTAAAGCTTTAGTTATATTTTGTCCTGGTTTATGGATCACTAAGACTTGGGACTTACTATGTGAAATTTGTAGTTTTTGAATTTTGCAAAGTTGGTTAAATAACTGGAGTGTTTCGTTGCAATTATTCTGTAAAATGTCTCTGGTACGGCCACTTGTAATAAAAGCTACATCATCTGCAAAAGCTACAATTTTTGAGTGATCTGGCCATGGATAGGCAATGATGTTGTTGAAGCTGATATTCCAGAGATCTGCACTCATGCAAGACCCCTGAGGACATCCTCGGACTTGATTACGCACAATTTCAGTGTTGTTGTAAAGAATCATACTTTTTCTGTTTCTGAAGTAATCTTGAATAATTAGAAATAAATTTTGAGGGCACTTAAAGGAACGCAGCGCTTGTAAAACTGCTGGCCACCATAAAGAATCAAAAGCTGATTTTAAGTCGAGACATATTATTGCAGAATGAAGTTGGTTGATTTTATTGTTTCTGACTTGTTCAAGAGCTGCAATTAATTGCATGACTTGTTGAAAGTAGGCTTCGAAATCCAAACTGGTTATTGCTTATTAAGTTTTTGCTGTAAACATGAAATTTTAGACGACCAATAAGACATCTTTCCAAAACTTTTCCCAGGGCTGGGAGAAGATTTATCGGACGATAAGATTTAGGTTCATCGGAGCTTTTATTCTTCTTATTGAAGAGTATTATATTACCAATTTTCAGGCAATCAGGAAAGGTAGAGAGTTCTATACATCGATTGCAAAAACTACAGATTATGTCAGGATGGGCTTGATTGATTAATTTTATAATGTGGTTATCGATGCCATCTGGGCCTGGTGCCTTTTTTAAAGCTTAGGTTTTTAATTATTTGCTTTATTTCTTGTTTTGAGAACGGAATATCGTTGTCTGTTTGTGGAATGTCATCGCAGTTACGGATTCTGGTTTGAGTAGGCGAATCTTCAGCTGGATCATCTTTTAGAAAGACAGAGTCAAGAATCTCATTTAGGGTTGAGAGAGTGGCATCCTGAATTTCAGCAGAACTTGAAAGCAAATTTGAGGGAAGTTGGATTTGTGACGGTTTAAAAATATTTTACTACTGGCGATCTTGTATAAGGTGCCATAAATTTCTTTTATTGTTTGAACAATATTTGTGCCAACTTTTTAATTTAGATTCGAGAATCATCTTTTTGTAGTTTGCATTTTCTTTTTTGAATTTGAGCCAGGCTTGGTGTCTTAATTCATCGTCAGTAATCGATTTCATTTTCCGTTTCAATGCTCTCGCCTTATGCTTTTGAGCGCGTAACTCTTTAGTCCACCAATTTATATGAAAGTAAGGTTTTGCAGATCGTATTGGAAAGGTATTTTCACATATTTCTTGGATTTTTTTTTATAAAATCTTCTGTAGCTTTATTTAGATCTTCTTTTGTTGCACTTAGTTGGAAGGAAGAAGTCATTGGAAATGCGGATTGTTGAATTTGCTTAATAAAGTTCTTTTCTTTCTTTTTAGTAATTTTAAAACGTTTCATTAAAACTGATTCTGAGTTCTCTTTGATTTCAAAAGTAATATATTTATGATCTGAGTGGGAGTTGTCTTCTTCAATTTTGCGATTTGAAATCGAATTAATTAGGTGATGGGAAGTAACTACGAGATCTGGCCACCCTCTCCCATACATTGTTTCGAAAGAAGGTAAATCCGAGGCTTGGTTATGAATGACAAGATTATGTGAATTGAAGAATTCCTCAAGGGACCTTCCTCTTGGACTTGTGGAATTGTAGCCCCAAAGCTGGTTGTGTGAATTGAAGTCTCCACAAATTATGTGTGGACTTCGGAAGGAAAACAAGATGGATTCTAAATCATGAAGCAAAGGAGAAATATCCTCGGAGGGAGATGCATAAATACTTGAAATAAGAAGTTGAGAGTTGGAACTATTAAGACTGATTGTAACTAGGTCTCTTTTGGCTGTAATTAGAATTGGGTGCCAGCTATGATTAAAACTGATGATAGCTTCTCTGGAATGTTGATTAGGGGACTGAGGAGAATATTGAAAGACATTCAAAGACGCTGGAATGCTACTTACTTTCCCTTCGATACAATAGGGTTCTTGGATTAAAACAAGTCTTTATGGTTATGAGTTAAGAATTCTGCTAGATGATCAGAAGCCGCTTTTGCTCTTTGTAAGTTGATTTGAAGAAAACGAATTGAAGAAAATGGCCTAGAGTTTTCTTAGCAAGGTTGGGGGTAGATTATTTTGTACATTACTGTCCACGTTATAATCTTGAGTTGAAGCGTTATTCTTTAAATTGCGCTCTTGCATGTTAATATCAACTGAAGAATTATTAGTTATGGATGATGGCAACATGTGAGGTTGTGGCTTTGTCCAGGGTACAATAATTTGTTGAGCTGACTCCTGTAAGTCTGGCATGTTCTTTCATGAGCACCGTGATCAGTTGGCAACGAAGAACCAGTTTCTTGGTTACTTCGCACACAATTTACACAGAGTTTTACGTTTGAGGTACACTCTCTATGGGAATGTTGTTTTGCGCAGATGGAACAGCAGGGAGGATTTTGACAGCTTCGACTATTATGTCCAAGACCCTGGCAATGAAGGCAACGGGGAAGTGAAATGTAGGGACGGAAGGAACACGAGTTGAATCCAATGAAGACTCTTGACGAAGTAAAACAGTCACTAGAATCTGAAGAAATTTCTACAATCCAATTATTTGTATTTTCAGATCGGTGAACTGGAGAACACGAAATATCAAGATTATTATTTGATGTAATTTTCAGAAAAGCCGATTTGATATCTTCAGCAGCCGCTGAGGGTACATTAAACACTATGAGTTTGGTACTTTTGGGTTTTGAAGTACGAACAGTTACGGAGGCTTGTAGTTGTGAATTTTCAACGATTGAGCGGTGTGTAAGTGTTCTAAGTCTGCTTTCTTTTCGACACGACGATTAAAAGCTCATTAGACTTAGTAGTACGAATATTATTGATATGAATACCCAGTTTTTGTGGATTAAGTGTCGAACTTAGTTGGTGTCTGATATCTTCAGGTGTTCTCTCTGAATCTTTAGGTTTCAGGAGTAGAATATGATCTCTGATTGACTTTTTTGGAGTCTGTTTCAAAGAAATGTTTTTGGCGGCAGCAACGGCGTAGGAATTTGGGGTTTGTTCTAGAAACTTTGTTTCGAATAATTTTTTAACTAACTTCGTGTTGTTGTTGCTGCAAATGTTCCTTCACTTCAGAAATAACTGTAGTATTTGAACGCTGAAGAGACAGTTGCTCTCTCTCAGTTCCGAAATTGTACCTTCGTGCTTCGCTAGAGTAAGTTCTTGGTCTGCCACTATTTGACGAAGAGCTGTTAAATGGCCAGAAATATCTTTATGTTCTTGGGTATTAAGTTTTCTATTTTTTCCCGATGTTTAAAAGATCTTTAATTTTATCAGTAATTCGTAGAATATCATTCAATCTGGAGGAGTCAGCATTTTCAGGATTGCTAGTTAAAGAATGGGAGATGTTTAATAATGATGGTGAGGAAGACCTATCTTTAGAAGCCATCGATAAGAGTTTACAATTTCATAGCTCACATAAAACAAAAATGACAAAAATCAGAAACTATTCATAAGCAGAGCAGAAAATTACTAGTACATGAAGTTAACAAAAATAAATAAATAAGTAAATAGTAGTGAATAATTGCTTATTAGAATAAATGCTTATTACTCACATAAAGTCTGACAAAATAATTATAAATTCAGGTGTTATGCAGTTCCAATGTTTCTTAGAGGAAAAAGAATATATATATAAAGAAAGAAACTCAAATTAAATAAAAATACAGAATTATCTGTTGGTAATACTATATTAAGTCAAGTCTTAACCAAAGGTTAATTAATTAGATAACTGTGAGTTGTCAGACGTACATTATATTAAGTCGTTAAGAGGAGTTCTAAACCTTATTCAAACAGGTATTAAACTTACTCAAAATATAAAAGTGTTGGAAATCCTGTAATATTGAAATGCTGACGTACTACAGCATTTTCAGGCTTATTTACATCCATTGCTGCCAAAATCTGCACAGAAAATAAATTACTGAATAAGTATCAGTTCAAAATTTAAGAAATTAAATAGCAAAATAAATAAATTCAGAAGCATTTACTATCTAATACAAGCATTAATTTTTTAATTTAATTCACAGTATTATATAATTAATTACTCACAGAATGCCCTTTTAACTCTGTGGCGGCAGCTTCATATTCTGGTTTCAGTCTTTTACAAAATCCACACCCTGTAAGATATAAAAAACGATAAGCATTTTTCTATATTTTACAGTTACAAAACACAAAACCACAGCACATAAATTTATGAGTGCTAGGTTATATTATTAATGGGCACTTGGGTACAGCAAATAAATTCATAGGTACTTGGTAAGCAATACACTACTAACAACCTAATGCCCCTTTTGGGAAAGAATATATTTTCAGCAACAGCAGATCAATTAAACACACATTTTTGAATTTTTGTCATTCACTATTTGGCTGTTCGATTCAAAATACATCAAATTGTTATTCATTCTCCTCAGCTTGTCTCCATTTTCATATAAATTCTGCTGAATAGTATTGCAGATTTTCCTAAATATTTCAGTTTATTTGATCATATTATTGTTTTTATGTATCCTTGTAATATGTAATGTTTTATATATTTAACTGTTTGCATTTTAGGAGTAATTTTAGGGTGTATTTTTGCATAACTAAGTCTATGGACCAGTATTTTGTATATGGGCACTTATTTTTGGTGTAAAAAAAAGTTTTCATGATTCTAATTCAAACAATGTTTAAATTTTTAAAATAGCTTAAGCAGAACCTTAGATAAGGGCAGAAACTTTCCTGGAGGGCCTTCACAACATCTGGTGATTTCTCACAACTTGGCAAATTTCTGGAAGTTTCAAGAAAGCACATTTTTAAATCCAAGCCCAAGGAGTGATTTTATCTAATCTTTCTGAAGGCTGAGCAACATAATATAAATGCAGTTCCAACAATCAGCTACTGGTCAGTTCTCAGTGACTTCAGACAGCCTTTGATTCAAAAAGATTTATCCGATTTGCATTTTAGAGTTTACTTTGTGAATGATATTGCAAATTTATGCTCTTTCTGAGGTATTAATGAGGATTTGCCTAATTTCTGCATTCTCCTTGAGTTATTTACAGCATTTATTTTGCTGTGTATTATTACTGATTACAACACATTATTGTCAATTTCTTCCTGCTCATCTGGAATGATTATTTTAAAGAGACATAAATGAACCAACAACATGTGATAAAGAAAGCAAGTAACTTCTCTTTAATTAATTCTCAATAATTATTCTAATGCTTTGTCAGCAGCTACTTTAACATTGTATTTCCATCATATATCTTCTATCATGTACAATATCATGGCACGAGAACTAGAATATTCGTAACGTTTTGGCAAAATAGCATATCTCTGGAAATGATATATTTTGAATGGAAAAACTTTGAAATTTCATATGCAGTGTTGCCAATATCAGTAAACAATCAAATACAGACATTATTCAGATTTTGGAATTACACTGTTTTAAATCACTTACTGTCCAACCATGTATTCCAGATTTATGTAAACACCCGATTTGGGACGGAAGTGGGCATATCCATCAGTGATGTAGGGGTGAGTGCAGTAGCCCGGTTAGATTTAAATGGTCTTCCATTTCATGCTCTATCTTTCGAGTGCTGCGCAACAGAAAATCTTTGTCTGCGCTTTATACATTTTAAGCTGATGTACCGTGAAATTTTAAAATTACAGAATTAAATTAAAATGCATAGAAACATCAGATCGTGACATTTCAAAGAAAAACTATTAAAAGAACTGTAATACTAACTATTTGTCTTAATACAATTCATCATCAGTTTATACATATTTTAATAGATAATATTAATTTAATAATAATTTAATAGATAACAATTAAATCAATAATAATTTAGATAATGGATCTTAGTTAATTTTTAATATTTTCAGACATTGAATGAAAAACATTTATCTGTTAAATATTCTTTAATAAATTACATTTATTAATATAATCAAATGATCTATAAATAAAATAAAGCAATTTAATGAGAAGAGGTTGCATAAAAATTATTTTAGTTTTAAAGACATGCCATACCTTTTTTCCCCCTTTACATTTATTTTGGTGACACAGCATTAAGGATCCTCAAAACTTGTAGAGAATTCAGAATCCGAATTGTCACTGACAGTAAAATTCAATGGTTCACACAATTCCTCTATAATACCATCTTTTCTCCAATATTCAGTTTCTAAATTTTGTACATGATCACAGTTCTTCTTCAATTGTTCACCGAATCATCTTCAATAGCCTCATTTACGAAATGTAATAAATTCAACATGCTTATATCTGCAGTCGTGTTCTGACTTCGAACATAATTTTTTACTTCAGCTAATACATATTCTACATAGAATCTCTAAGGAGAAGAAGTAAAGGTTCCCTGAGGCAAATGTGGCTCCGTCAAACCGAAGAGACACATTATGTATATTCCTGAAGCTTACTTTAAAGGGGCAAACCATCCCAAAGCTATCCACCCTCCGTACCTCACTGCGCATGCGCGAAATAACATCAGGAGGCAACAAAGCAGCATGCCGTCGGCCATATAAGCAATCTTTTACCACGTTGTTCGAGAAGGTTCTTTGTTGTTGTAGTCAGAGATACTTGGTTTTAGTTATGTGAAATTCTTTTAAAGACTTTTTAAATGTAATGCTGTAAGTGAAATGGTTTTGGCTGTTGGGTGAAAACTTTGCTCTTGGTTTTCACAATGGTCATTCCAAATAATTGTCTAAAAGCTTTCGTGGTAATTTGTTTTTAAAGTTGTTGTCGTATAATTATAATGTATTTCAGTGTTTTCAATTATTTAGGGGGTGCCTTTAATTGTCTTTAATTATTTTTTCTGTTTCAGTTAGTTATTGCAAATTTTGCTTTTAAAATTTCACTGTAAAATTTTAACTATGGATTCATAAAAATTTATTACATTTTGTATGGCATGTGTTTTGCCCCCTTTTTAGGTTTACAGAAGAAAAGAATTAAGAAATTTATTTCATTTAAATTTTGTCTTCGTACGGCTCGCTGTTTAAATTGAAAGTAAAAATTGGACAGGATTTCTATAATTCGCCCAAAATTCCAACTAACATCCTTTTGCTCATAAAACACCAGAAATGTATGAAAATAAAACTTGAGTTATTTCAAAGGAAAAAATTTACTATCTCCTCGAACTGCACTGTTTAAATTTCACCCTGCGCTGGTGTTTCACTGCATAGCCGTGGCTCTTCGGTACAGCGGCGCAGAGGCGAAAAAGGTTTACATTGCATCTATGAAAGCTTTCATTCTTCTCCTTAGAGATTCTTTGTATTCTATGATGTTTATATCACAGTGATATGGTGGGAGTCGCAGAACTGTATGGCCTTGTTCTTGCATTATACAATCAAATTTGAAAGTTTTGACTTTGGGAGCATTTTGTTTCACTAAATCCAGCAGCTCCACTTTTCGCAAATTCGGACAAAAAGAAATGTTTTTTTGTGAGCCACTGCATTATATCTTCCTTTTTTGGGGGGAGGCATTGGGAGTTTTATTTAGCTACACTGAATGATAAGGCGCATTATCAATAATTATAATGGAATTTGGTGTTAGGTTTGAAATTAACTTCTCATTTGCCCATTTTTCAAATATTGAAGAGTTCATTTGCCCATGATAATCGCCAGTTGTAGAATTCGCTTTATAAATTAAACTAGTATTGGAAATGAAACCCATCTCAACACAGCACTAAAATTATTATGCGTCGAGAGGCATTCCCTGTTTCTAAAATCCTATTGACTTCATTTGATTGCCAGCATTTTCCAAACATTAAATTGCTGTCCACCCATGTTTCATCTATGTAAATTAGGGAACGAGATTCTTCTCTGTACCTTTTAATATTCCTCAAATACATTGTTTTTGATAAAACAATGTCAGGTCTTTCTAGTAAAATGCTTCTTTTATTCCGGGAGTTTTTCCAGATGAAACCAACTTCTCAGAGAATCTTTCTTAGTGTTTCTCTTTGCTAAGGAAAATTGATGATGTCTTTTAATACAGGAAGCAGTTTGGTTATAGTTAGCACTTTCTTTTCCTTGACATAAAAGTCTTGAGCTGCTTGTCTTAAAATATCATAATCAAAATTATCTAAGCCTGTACTTACAATAGTTTCCCTCTTTTTTCTTTTTTTAGGGAAAGAGAATTCAACATTTTCTTTATTTTCAGATTCTCTATGAATTCTGTTTATGCTGGCAATAGAAACACCCATCATCTTACTCGCTCTGCGTGTTGGCTGCGTAACTGGGATGGTCAGTCTTCATAATTGTGATTCTTCATCACAAACTTTAATGACGTTATACACTAATTTCTTAAAATTGCTGCAGAAAGGTTTATTTCTAGAGCTTTCTGGAACACTAGAACTCATCGTAAAAATGAAGATTTGAAACTAAAAGAAGGTCAGTAACAGCGATGCTCAGCGATTGTAAGAAAAAGCACTAAATGACCCCCGACCTCTGAGAGGAAAAAATACCCGCGCTTTTCACCCACATCCTGTAATAATTCTTAAACAATTTGAAGTGAACTCCAATGATGGAACACAGCAATAACTTTTATTTTACACTAAAAAAAATGGCGACATACAAACAAGAGAAGAAAAGGTATAAAAATGTATTTTAAAAAAATAATTACATGCTTCATGCGAGAAAATACATGCGGCTCTCGAGCCTGCGTTTCAATATTGCCAGTAACCTGTACATTATTGATTATTCATCTATTTCAAATGCACGAAAGATTAATAATGATATTAAAGCTGTCACAACCACTACGACCTCCGAGAGGGGAAAATACCCACACCTCTTCAATTAAACTGACCCATCTTGGCTCTTAGCCAAACTGCTCTCACTAGTGTGGTTAGACAGTACTATCCAAACTCCAGAAAGCACAATTTCAGAATCCTCTACAGTAATATTTCCTTTAATATGCATTGCTGGATAACTGCCAACGGTGGATCTCAAAATGCAGTGTAACATAACATTAAGGGAGATGGAGGCTAAGTAAGGTATATTATTTCCACACCATTCAGATATTAGAATTACAGGCATTAATTGTTTAGGAAAATACAGAAGGTTTTGAAACATTCAAAAGTAAAACAGTTTTTTTCCTGACGTTCTGTATGGAGAAACAGGAAAATGCATATGAATAACTGCAGACTTTGAGAAAGAAGTCAGCATCAGTATGGGATATGTCCACCGTGAAGTGCGATGCAACTTTCCATATATCATATCATGTTTTGCACAATATTATATAGCAGCTGTTGAGGTAACTGATCCAGCTCATCTGTCAGTGCAAGGTTGATGGTGTTCTTGTTCACTGGAGGATAGTTTCAATAAATAAATCGCCTCACCAGAGCATTCTAAACATTTTCAATAGGAATTCAGAAGTCAAACAACAAAAATCAGCGTTTTATTTACAAAATTTTCACAGGACTAGTTTCGATGGTTTTACCGAACCACCATCTTCAGCTGCAAAACCGCAAATGAACCAAATGGCTGGTTCCCAGAAGGGCATTTAAAGTTAAATTTATCTGATACAAAATAATTTTTCTAATATATTTGAACTTATGTGATAAGAAAAATTTCTTCATAGTAAAAATATATGCTCTTTAATCAATTTCAAACTGGCAACACATATGTGAAATGTTAAAAACTGATTGACATTTGAACAAACATTTTCTCCAACTGATTAGTCTAAATAATCAGAAAATTTTAAATAGAATTTTGCTTTTATACAAATTTGATAGATACTTATGTATTTACCTAATAATATCTTGAAAACAATCTATTAAAGAAATTGAATACCATATATCCTATCTCATTCTTAAATCTATTTTAAATGAAGTATGACATCTCCAGAAAAGATATGCATTGCTCATATGTATTTTCTCCATACTTAGATATCAGTGCTCATGAGATTCTTAAAATTCCTTTACAGTGATACAGTTCAATTGCTGAACATGTTATGAAATTTTGTCTATTTTACAAGAATATATATATGGCACATATGTTTACTGGAATTCCATAGATGAAGTTCATTCTTTGATATTATCAATTCTAAAAACATAAAATAATCACTACAAAAAAAAATAAAGAACTTACATGGAGCATAAAACATAACCATGATTGGCAGCTTCTCTCTATTCAATACTTTTCCCAAAATCTGCCAAAAAAGTAATAAATTAAAAAGTGTATTTGTAAACTTTAGATCAATATAAGGAATGTTTTCAGATTTAAACATTAAATTATAAAACATTATTTCATGTGTATTTATTTCTGACTACTCAAAGTAAAGAAGGGGGGACAGATATACAAAATTAACAGACTTCTTTAAAATAGCAACATCTTGGGATAGTGAAAATTTTACAGAGCAAAACAACCAGAATCTTTACTCGGAAAGATTGCTTTCTTAATAAATTTCCAAAATGAGAATTTGAATGCCTATAAATCTGATTTAATTCACAAAAACTGTCATTAATATAGTGCTATTATATTTACATATACTTACAAAGTCAGAAAGTGTTATAAATATACTGCTGCTAATTTATTCTTCAAATTAAAATAAGTTTATTAGTTAGACTTATAAATAGATGCAAAGTCACAAATCTGTTGTGTAATGAAGCTACTAGGAGTACAAATGTATATATAATTAAAAAGCAATTTAATTACATTTGCATCTGAAATATGAAATATATCTTTTCCTCGATCATCTTCTTCCCATGGCAAGTCTCCAGAAGGGTCCTTCAAAAAATTAACCATGGACTGAAAATAAAGCAAAAAAAAAAACTTTTTAAATAAAATCTTGTTATCCAGTATAAATATATGGTTGTTTTTTTAATATACTTTACATGGTTGTAAATCACATTTAAAATAAAAAGCATATAAATTAAAAGTTAAAAAATATAAAATGCATAAATCTCTTTCCAGATATTTTTATCTTGCAATACCATATTTCTTTCTATACTTTCACCTTCTCTTGCTAATTTTATCATCAAAAAAATTGAGAAGGGAAAATTCTGCGAATAATTTAATTTTTGAAGAACGCACTCATGGTATTAACATAACAAATGAAACACAGTCATAGATAAATTACAAGTAATTATCACAATATTATTTCTTGAAAGGAAGCGTACATTCCAATAAGAATACATAATAATATTAACATTACATATCTAATGATATATCTTCATTTCTACTCAAATGTAATTTCAATTGCATTCACTCTTATAATTGTCCCTGTCACTGCTTAAATCTCAAATCCTCCATAATTAATTAGATAAGGTGAATAACCAGCTGATTCAATGAAATTGTAGACTGAGTGTCAGTTGGTTTCTGCTTCACTGTGATCGGTCAGTTCCTGGATTACACTGACAAGTTCATTTAGAAGGGAAAGGTTTGGCTCAACCTTCACAAGTAGTTTGCAAGAGTTAATCTTTGTTAGTATGATGAAACCTATTGTTAGGTGGATGAAATTATTTTAAAATTTAGGGAGCTCATTCTCTGAATGCATTAAGAAAGGGCAAAGTTATGCAAATATTTTATAAATTTTCACAACCTAGTGGTAAAGAGCCAGGAGGGGAAACATGCAAGGAAATACAATAAATATATTTTAAATCCTTTCATCTATTGAAAAATATCACTATTTGCAGATATTACAAACTCTTTAAATTTTAAAATAGCTAAAAATGTGTTCTAACCTGTACAGCATGTTTCCTATCATAATCCTTATGGAAATCGCCGTCTCTGAAATTAAACACATTTTAAAATAGATTATTCGTTTGATATTTTGAAAAATATAAGAAAAGCAACTCAGAAACACTAGGATAACTCACCTATAATGCTTAAGTATGTGAGGCTCTGGATTAACTTTTAACTTCCGGCATAATTTCCTTGCTTCACTGTCAAAAGAAAACAATTTTTTTTAAAAAAAAAAAAAAGGTGTCAAAAAAAGTAATTTGAGAGCACATATCATGAAAATTGTACTATTTTTTCATATTATTTAAGATTATGTCATAAAAATTTTCTTCCAACTCTTAACTAAAGATTTAATCCAGAATACTTTAAATCTTTGGAATAAAAAAAATTAAAAAAATCTACATACAACTCGCACCAGTAAGTATGAAGGATTAACTGATGTTATTTAGTATACTATAAAGCATGAAAGAGCAACCAATTTATTTATTACATGGTTAACTAAAAACATGATTCAGTGAATTAAGGAAATGCAATTAAATTTTGATTTCTCTGTAAGGCTGAATTTGAAGCTAACAACCTCTGACAATTCAAAATAAATATGTTTTATGTTTGCTAAATATGTCAAATAAAAACTCAGAAGTGTGGAACAGGTTTAAATCTTGAATTTCACCACAAATACTCCACAAAATAAAATTAGCATATGTGCTATTGATATATTCATAAAATACTTAACAACCAATGTACCAAAAATAAGTGAATTTTTCATTGGTAATATTTTTCCAACTTCAAATAACATGGTAACATTAACAGACATGATAATTTTCTTCAAAATATTCCAAAATGATTTTCTTTGGAATACAATATGTACATACAGGATATCCACAAAATGCTAGTACTCCTCCTAGTTCTATTCCTGGTTGTTAAAAGGACTAACTGCTTAAGGTTTTTGTTATTTTCCTCACATGTAAAATAAAAACAGACCTTATCAAATCTTCCATGATATCATACATTCTTTTAAGCAGGTAACCCTTCTGTGCTTAGCCATATTTAAATATTGAAATACGTTCTATATAAAATTTAATCTAATTGCCCTCTTTTGTATCTGGATAGACAGTAAAAGCTTGACTATCTGGAAAGCTTATGAAATGATGAATCTGGGATATGTGAAAATCCCAGTTAATAGAACATATGAAAAGCACAATTAAGAGTAGAAAAGCCAAATGAATAGAAGAAATTCCCAGTCTAAAATTATGAAAACAATCATTTTATTTGTTATCAAGTTGAATATCTAAAGCCTACATTTAAGATCATACAATACTTAAAATAAATGCATTTCAGACATAAAAGTGAATTTTTTTTTTTATAGACGTTAAGCATATGACAGTTAACTGTCATATCTGATTACGAAATCTTGTCGACCCTGATAGTTGACAAAGATGTTGCCAAAACTGGCCAATCATTTCAGTAAATTTTACAGAAACAGATCTTTCTTTCTTTAGCTAGATGATCAACAGATATAATTTATGGATATTACATATAAAAAAACTCAAATCCTTATCTATAATTTTTTGTTGTATTGCCATTGTTTATACATTTTCAAAGTTGCAAATTATGCCCATTAATGTACACTTTTCTTGATGCCAGAATCCTATAACATTGAAAATACTCTACTACGTGCTGTTCCTTGAAATACAGGGCCCAAATTTTAATCATTTTTTCAAAATATGTATGAAAAACTTATAAACAGCAGTTAACTTACATCCTTTCATATAAAAACTAAACTGGCTTATCGAGAATTAATCAGACTTACCTAAAAATTAGGGTGAAGATTGTGTTGCAAAATCATGTTTATTCTGTACTGCACTAAATAATGCTGTTTAGCAACAGTGACCAATATGTGCATTATAACAGCTTTACAAGTCTTTTATTAGATATATGTTTTAGGTAGGGAAAAATCCTAAAATTCTAACATATTCTTGCTCAAGGCTTCTGGTTAACTGAATGGTAGATAGTCAGGCTTTTATTATGTCTTATTGCTCTTATGTTTATAATGATTTAGAACCAGTTATTTTACAACAGCAGCAGAAAGGTGACTTTTCTACTGTAGTAAATTGTTAATGCAATCACGTTCAGTTTAAAATTGCATACAAAAAGTAATGAACACCTACCCTGAACAATCTACAACAGCAAGAGTAGCTTGGCCTTTGATTTCTTCAGCTACTTTTGAAAATACATTCATAAGTTCATGACTCTCTTTCACTGAAACACACATTAAAAAATTAATTATAATTATTATATCCCACACATATCACATAGGTATTTTTACAATGTCGTAAAATTATACAAATACAATAAAACTTACTGGAAAAAGTAAAATATCGGGTGCACACCAAATTTGGCAATTTCTTCATGAAATAATGATGGTATCCTTACTTTCTTCACTGTTAGGTAAGGAGTTTATTTTGGCAACCTTATTTTTTGATTACTCGAATCAATGGGATTCTACGACATTTCTCTCTTGGTCAGGTGTTGTTCGTTTATGAATGATAGTCATTATTTTTAAAACAATATTTGTAATGATCAAAACAAAATACCTATTTCACACTGGTGTGTTCAGTTGTTTCAACTAACCTTGAGCGATTATGATCATGGTAAAGAGATAGAATTTAGGGCTGCTATTTTCCTCACCTTTTACAATTTAGACTGAAAGGGAGAAATGTCTGTGTTACAGTGGTGCATAGGAATGGGTCTGATTGCAAATAAGGTTGAATGCTCCGTGAAATAGGTGATGAGATGTGTTTAGAAGATAACTGGGTAAAAATATACTTATGGGTGCTCCTTGGCAAAAATTGGCCGTACATGGATACCGAGTTTGTGCAATTCTTTGACTCATTATTTTGGCTTGCGAAGCAGCAATTTTTGCAAAGTCAAAATAACAAGACAAACAATTGCACAAACTCAATATCCATGTACACATCAACCTATTTTCACTTAAAAAGTCAAAGCAGCACCAAGTTCTACAGTACAGCCAATCAAAAAATGCCTAATCTCAATAAACTACATTTTAAATCAAAAAATAAAATAACATAAAAGAGGAAATTATTATGCATCTAAGCATTACGTAAAGCAAATATCCACTTACCTTATTTAGAAATTTCTTAGTCCTTCAGTCTGTGGCACACAAAATTCCTTAACAGCCATACAAAAACTTCCTAATTTAACTTCCAGTTTTTAAACTAAAGATTGACTTGGGGTTGAGCGTGATCGACATACAAGCACAGGCATACACGCTCTATCGTAGTGGTTTACATATTAACTTATTACACAAGTGAGCTACTAAAACAGGATATTACCTTATGGCTAGCAGGGAAACCTCTCGATCGCGCGCAAGCGTTTGGTAGTGGGCATGGAAACGTTTTAATTTAATCTGCACTTTTTCCCTTTCGTTCCAAATCATAGAGAAACTTCAAATTAATCTTACCACATTCAGCCATTCTACTGTCTGATCCACAAAACAACCAATGAACTTCCTAAGCAACACAGAGACCACAAATCCTTACAAATTCGTTTTCCTGTCATTCAAAATTTACGGCAATCCCGCAGCCAATTACATCATAATAGAGTTTCCATAGCATTCAACTATTCAGGTTACCATAAATGAAACAACTTGGCAATAAATTAAACAACTTTGCGATAACGCAAGGGGCAATCTTCAATCTACTCTAACCGATAACTAACATGCAATGTTGATGCTGAGTTCATGCAATTCTCAGTTTTCTTTTTTTTAAGCAAAAACAGATAGCTGTGTGCATAAAGAGAAGAACAGAGCAAAAAAAAATTAGAGGGATTTCATGAAAAAAGTGTTTTATTTTTTTAATGTATATTATAATCTTTGCTTAATAATTCAAATTTATATTTTACATTGCTAGTGTGTTTTCTTTTGATGTTTGTAAAGTTTGCCAACTTATAACAAATATCAATAATTTGACAATGTTTTCAAAAAGTCACTAAAGTTGGCAACTAGTACCAAATAAATAACTTTCACCAATATATAAGGGCGAGTCAAATGAAAGTGAGCCAATGCGAATTTATGACAAACAGAGTACTTTATTTAAAGGTAGTCTCCATGAACATTGAGACATTTATCCCATTGACAAATGAGCCGCGTGATCCCCGTTCATAAAACTCCTTGGGCTGTCGATTCAAAAGTCTGTAACCGGACTCTTCATGGCGGCGTCCAACACGAATCTCGTACCCTTGAGATGTTTTTTAGTTTCCCGAAAATGTGAAAGTCGCATGGCAACAAATCTGGGCTGTATGGAGGATGTTGCAGTGTGTCCCTTTGAACTTTGCCAGTTGTGCTTAACCACCATCAGGACGTGGGGACGAGCATTGTCGTGCAGATCACACATTCTATCTTCCAGGCGTTTGTTCTTGATTGCGACACGCAGGACGATCCAGCGTGGCACAATATCGCGAACTATTGATAGTCCTCCAAATCAAATTCAATCAGTATGGCCCTGACAATCGAAAAAAAGTCAATAGCACCTTTCCCGAGGAAAGCAGCCTTTGCTTTCTCGGGGGGGAATTCAAAGTCCACTGTAAGCTTGCGGCGTGTTTCAGTTTCGTAGTGGGTGGCCCTGATTTGTCCCAGTCACAACTGAGACAAGAAGTCGTCACATCATTGTGATACCGGATGAGATGAGTCAAAGCAGCGCCGAAAATCTCCGTCTTCGGCGCGTTCAAAAATCTTGGCATCCATTGAGCACACAAAAGCCGATAACTGAGATGATCATGGTTATGGTGTGAACAACCGTGAGAGTTCACACGTTCTGCAGTTCATCAATTTATCCTCCGTTTGTCTAATCAGTCATCAACCTGTGCAATGTGTCGGGGGTGATTGCAAGGTGGCTTTGGCCCGGTCTGGATAGTCTTGCAACTTTCACGCCCTTCTCTGAACCGCTTGCTCCATGCTACAGTGGCCAAGCGATGCAAGTTACCGTACACAGCATCATACGGCGACTAATTTCATGTTGGGAAACACCTTCAGCTGTCAAAAACCTGACCACACCACGCTGTTCCTCTTTTGTAGCGTCCATTATGTCACGCTAACGTCTTCAACCCAGTGTAAGAGTGCCTTAAAGAACTTTAACCTCAAACTTTCGCGCCACTTTCGTAAATGAAGGCTGTCTCTGTGCTACGCGCATGTGCCGCAGATGATGGACCGAAACCATTCTTGCTGAGGAGGGGTTGGCTCACTTTCATTTGACTCGCCCTTATACTATATAAAATGCATGACACTGCCAAGCTGACTTCTGCCAAAGATGAAAGTGTAGTACCATCTTATAGTATAAAACAAACAAGTTAATACAGTACAAAGTCTGTAATCCGGACTCGTCAGGACTTCGGCGATTCCAGAATAAGTTTTTCTGATTATAGATCATCAATTTAAATCTGGTAAGATGGCATGCAGAAATTATACAATTAAAAATATGTGTGTGTGTGTGTGTGTGATTATGGCAAAGCTTCGAGGGCTATCTGCCTAAGGGGAGGGATGCCTTCGTGGAGGACTTTCTAAGGGAAACTGCTCGTTATACACGTTACACATGGGGAAAACCACGAAACCCCAGTGCCAGCCGTTCGCGGGATTCGAAACTCAGAACTACCGTGTTTTAGAAAGAAATTCTATATAATAGCAACATTTATTACATAAATAGCTTAAAATAATGTTAACTTTAAAATTGAAAAACAATCTTTTTTTTTTTTTTTTTTTTTTGTTTTTTCAAATGACTAGGAATCATTGATATCTATGAGAACTTTTTGTTTTTTATTTGTGAATGCAATTATAATTCAAATTATGCAGAATTATTACATGAACGAGGAGTTATATAATTAATTTTCAAATCAATTAGGCTTAAGAAGCATTAGATAGTTTGTAGTTTATACATGAAGCATCTATTTCACAGTGCTCTTGAAATGTTTTTTACACTTCACACATATAGTTTTTGATTTTGTCTTTTTGCTTTGAGCATATGTAACATCTCCAGTATTATACTTTTTTAGCTTTGTTTGTGGTTCATCAAATCATTTTCCGTAAGAAACTGGCCAATTCATAACTGGTATACCAATTGTCTGTGGTAAAGTTTCTTCCCGATTTGTATAATGGAGCTAAGATGCACTTTGCTATTTCACTAGAACTGTTGACTTTTTTGTATGACTCGCCTGGCTGCTGATCCACGTAAATTTCCATTTTGAAAGTATAGAAGATTATAGAATCAACCACAGCAAACATCTTTATAACATATCTTGCAGGTTTCTTAGGCAGAAAGGAGCATCGTTCTCGAAAAAGTTCTAGCTTTTTGTTCTGAGTCACGAATTCCCCTACATGATATAACTTCTGTCCAGTTTTGACAAAATTTTCAAATAAATCTCTTATTGGAGCTAATTTTTCACTCTATCTTCTGTTATCCCATAGTCCGACATCATCAAATTATAAGGCACGAAGAATGAAAAGAAAATGCTTATAGTTCATAGTTTTGTGAAAAATATCCTGTGCCATCACTCGTCCATAAATCTCTAACATATGCATGGGAAGATTTGTGCAATTCAGCTATGTATAAGAGTCCTAAAAAAAGCAAAGTTTTGCATCTCTTTCTCTTTTAAAATTTCCCGAAATATTTTTTACATGAATATTACAGCATTTCACAATCATTGTGTCATCAAATATTACATTCCATGCACCGATGGGTGAAGACAGATCTATAGATGTATGTGTATTATTAGGAAACTTTTTTATGATATTATGGAACGCCACGCACCTTTGACCTCGAAAGGGTTCTTTCTGCCACTATATTGTTTTATCTCTTCCTATTAAATAGTCAGTTTTATCATAAGGAATGTCTTCTGAAGAGTTGCACTCTTCTTCTGATACAGACTGATGATCACTAAATATATCTTCATTATCTGAATCTCCTAATTATTCTTCTACAGAATCTTCATCGGACAAAACCTCCTCCTTGATCATATGTCAAATGAGGAAGAGACCGAACAATACGCCATGCCTCATGCTGAAAAATAGCAACACGAAAACACACATGGGGTGTCGGCACACCCCAGACTGCTCTTTAAACCACAATAAATGCTCGGAATTTACCGTTTCTACTCGAGACATCTAGACTATGATGTTGGAGGCAGTTACTGATGGACCTAACCATTTCGAATTATGGACGGAGATAACCGGCGATTTTTTTTAGCGTCTTCCCGGGTTAAAAATACAGGATAAAAAGTGAGAGGTATAACTTTTGCAAGACACACCAAGATATCATATACAGCCCGGGATACATGTGGTCACCAAATGTAGTGATATCTTGCCACATTGTGTCATCAAATATGTGATGGTTTAGTTGAGATTGTGTCTGCATGGCAACGCTTTTTACAAGGAAACTTTTGTGGGGAATGTGGTTTTATTTCATTCTGGTGGTTTTTTGGTTATGTGTTGAGTAATGGCATATAGTTCCATGAAGGCCATTGTGGAGAGATATAAGCCATGTGTTTTAGAATGTATTTAAGCTAGATTTAGTTCGAGAAAATGTGTTGTTGGAGTTATTAATGAAGCATTTATTCATAGTTGTCTTCATGTTGACAGAAGTGTATTTTTGCAGTTTTTATGGAATACAGGATTTTGAAGGCGAACTTGATGTGAGAAGTGCGGCTCTGTTATGATGATTTGAAGAAAAATTGTGTTTCTGATGGATTTGTGTGGATTTGCAGAAAAATTGTTGAAGGTAAAGAATGTGATTTTGAATGAAGTTTGTGGTTTGGATTCTGGTTTTCCAGCAGTTGTTTGTTTGAAATTAATACTTTGCTTTTTTGGGAACTATTTTGAATGGTAAGTGAATTTACTTTTGTACAGTTTTAATTTTGTAGAGAGTTATTTTAATTCTTGCACTGCTTTAAATTTGTGCTGTAATTTTGGTTCTAGTATAGAATTCAGTGCTCCTTCGATTGGCGATAACTTTTGATCAATTGGTGATAAGCAACTTTATTTAAACTGTATGTGAAGTCATCATTCTCCTGATTATTTTTAAGTGAAAATAGATCAATGTGTACATGGAGAAATCCAAGGCAGTGCACAATGCTGAGTTTATGCAATTCTCTGATGTTTTTTTAAGTGAAAATAGATCAATATTTACATGGACACCAAGTTTGTGCAATTCTTTGACTTCTTATTTTGATTTTGTGTAGCGGCCATCTTGAAATTGTGCCTTCCTGGGGCCGATCAGGGCATCAAAAAAGAATCTCAAAAAACACAAAAGGCACCCAATTGTAAACTGTTGACGTTATTTTTTTTAATTTTTTAATTTATTTGTGCTGAAATTATTTGGAATTTATCGTTGTTATTTTAGTTTAAATTTGTCGTCAAACATTTTTGACGAGAAACTTACCTAAATTTTGGTTTTTATTTTGGACTTTTAGTGTAAATCGTGTGCAAAAAGGTGGTTTTTGCTCATGCGAAAACTGTGTTTTTTTCAGATATTTGGGGTTTTAAGTTTAAAATGTAAAAGAAAAAAATTTAGATAAGTAAAGTCGTGGAGTTGGCAAGAAATTTTTCACCAACCCAGTCCGTATATGACAGCAGTTTCAGAAGCTTTATAGCTATGTATTCTTATTTTTAAATTCAATATATGCTTGACTTTTCGGACTCTGTATACAACTTCATATAAGTTTTCTTTAATGCATATTAAATTCAGATTGATGATTAGTTCATGTAGCTACAATATATTACAACGTTTAATTTCCTTATTTAATATTTCTGTTGGTTACGATTACCATTACATATGCTGGAAGTTGCAGTCAGCACATTACAGGTACTTATTCAAATATAACAAATAAATTCTAACTAGTATTTGTGATGTTGGAGGAAATGGGTGAAGAAAGATACTAGCATAATAATGGAAAGGATTATTCTAAACAAGTTCCAAAAAATATTTATCAAAATAATCTGAAGCATTATGTAAGTAACAAAATCAAACATGAGAAAGGAATAAATATTTCACTCACTACTTCTAGTAAAGAGTACCAAAACATTGTTTTTTGTGCGGCACAATTTTTTAAGTTCTTTGGCATCAATGATATCTTCTATTAAGCTCCGAGATGAAGTTTTTTTACATTCTACTGTCCTAAGCTGTATAAAAAGCTGAAGCTGAAATAAAAATTATGTCAGAATGAAAAAATAAAAAGCATGGGTTACTAAACATAAAATCACAAAATCTAAGATATTTAGCAGTAATTAGCTATAAAAAGGGAAAAAATTGAATAAAAAAAGGTATGAAAACTGATTAATATACTATAATTAACATAAGAACTTCAAAATAAAAAAAATCAATTGCTGACACGAAACATTAAACTAAAGACAAAACAATAAAAAATAATAATAACAGTTCAATAGTTAAAAATTTACAGAATGTATATTTATGTCAAATAATCATCATAATTTATGCTTGCCCAGTATTGCAGAAAACTGAAAAACTTATTTACTTATATAAATGCTTTGATAAAAATTTAAATATGATAAACTTCATACTGTGCAACTTAACAGGAATCTATACACAGAATGTTCAATGAAAAATTTTAGTTTGACACTTATTATTAAAAAAAAAGGTAATTCTATATTTATTTAACTATATATAACAATGATAAATTATAAAATGATATGGCTAATCTTTGGAATATAGTAACAGGTAGTTTGGAGACATTTTTGTAAGGCGATAAAGGTACTAGCTAGACTTTAGCCGTGTAATAGCTTAAGTCAGAGTGTGGCAATGATTTTGTGCAATTCTGGGATGATTTTTAATGAAAATAGGTCAAGTGTACATGGATACCGTGTATGTGATTCTTAAACACGGCAGCCGTTGCATTCGCCTTTCTCCCAATTTCCCCTAATCTTGTCATGATTAAGGCCTTTGTTCCATAAAATTCTACATAAGCGTAATCGCTAGCAGATTGTAGACAATGTGAGTAAACAAAAATCATGCCTTTACTTCGTGAAAATAAAATGGCATCCAAACAAAAACTAGCAGGTTGCCGTAGCAGGGTTGGTCACCAAAAAATCACCAAGTTACCATAATCCAAAGATTAACAAATGATATAAGAGGAATATACATGATCAAATTATAATTAACCAAAGAACAAATGTGTTTCTTATGTTACAAAACTGCAACCCAGGTAGAAATTAAACGTGCATGTTTAGACAATATAAAAAGTAATTCATTTCACTTGCAAGCTAATGTAAACAGATACCTTGAAAATGAATTAATAAATTATAAAGCCATCAATGAACAGTGTAAAGATAACGAAACCATTGTTAAATATATTGAAATTATTAATATGTTTAGTAATATCAGTGTTCCATATCAATAAACTCCATTTTTCATATAACTTACCCTAATATAATAATTAACCTTCCATCTTATCCACCAGATCAAGTCAAAAATTACTTTAGCAACGGCTCTTGCAATCCAGTCTTTGGGCAGAGTAAACTTTAAGGTACCCCTTGTATTCTGGCAAAGTTGTTTGATTTATCGCCAAGTTGTTGTTTCATTTACGGTAGCCTGAGTAGTTCAATGTTATGGAAACCCTATTGTGATGTAATCGGATGTATGATTCTGGGAAATTTTGAATCATGGGATGTGTTGTAAGCGTTTTTGTGGTGTGTGTTGGTTTGATTCTTTAGACTGTAGAATGGCCGGTGTAGCAGATTATTTGAAGTTTGACGATTGGGGGAAAATAGCTTTGATTGACTGTGTGTTACTGAAGTTTACTAATAGCCATATAGTTCCTGTATATGGAAGGTAGCGTCTATTAACATAAAAACTGTAGAGGATTTGAATGGGTTGTGGAGGAAGGTTCAGATGAACTATGTGAAGCATTCGATCAGAACGAGTACCTGTTTGAAAAAGATGGAGTATGATGATATTTTGATTTTTACGTGGTCTGGGTGTACGAGGAATTCGAAAATCATGGAAGTGAATATTTGCTTTGGTCGTGCTTAAATGTAGAACATGTTTTTCCTTTTTTTATTTTTGTTGGTTTAAAATGTATTTATGAGATATGTATTTTGTTTGCTATTGTAGATTGGTGCTGCTTGACTTGTAAGTGAAAATATATCGATCGTACATGGACAAGTAAGGAGGCCAATCAAGTTTGGCAAGTCTGGGATTTTTTTTAAGGAAAATAGGTGACGGTACATGGATAATTAAAAGTCGCAATGCATTTTGTGCAATCGGAGATTTTTTTAAGTGAAAATAATCATGTAAGGATATGAGTTGGCAATTGTTGTCTTGTTATTTGGCTTTGGTAGCCAAATAACAAGTCAAAGAATGCAAAATCGGTATCTATGACGCAAAAATCGCCAAGGGGTACCCTAAACTATACTTTTACCCAGTCTTTTTAACATATTTCAAGATATATCTTAAGAAAAGGAATTTTGTTGTATTAACATTAGGATTTTTAATAGGCCAGGCAATTAAGAATGTCCATCCCAATCCCACCAATGCAAACTTCAGACATGATTCAGTGAACCTGGCATAAAACTGAATATTCTTTCAAAATCTGCAAATCGATTAAAGTAAGATAATATACAATATGAGGAAGGTTATCAATAACAACAGCGAACAAAAAATATCAATTCCTAACAGATGAATAGAATGAATTCAATACTTAAAACATAAGACTTTTAGGCACGTAAAAATACAGCTGAATTTAAGGTAAAAACATAGCTGAATTAAAGGCAAAAACACAGCTTAAGATCGGCATCAAAGGTAAAAACACAGCTGAATATCTGAATTCTAAATTTCTAAACAGTGAATTTCTATATTTAGGCGTAATCATAGAATTTATTTTTTTTTTTTTCCTTTTAGAAATTTATACAACAGAATGTCTCAATTGGTTGATAGCCCTTTAAAATAATACAAAAAGCCGGTATTGTTAGCAAGCCGGTTGTCAAACCGGTTCTCAAAAAAATGTTTCTTTCAGAATAACAGTGGATCACTCTTCTTTTAGTAGTGTGTAAATTTATAATTAATATATATTTATATTCATTTTTGATAGATAAAAAATACATTACCATAAATATTAAAATAAGCGTAAATGCCATTTGC